TTCACCCATCATTATGAGTCCCTCATTGGTTTGGCCAGCTAAGGTGTGTTATGTCGACCTCTTCTTTCACGTAAAGGTATGCGCGCACCGCAGCCGCCTTTTTTCTTTCTGCATCCTTAGCCTGCACTTGTACGTGAGCATATGGGTTGGCAAAGTCGGTCATGTCGCTTATTGGCGCGTTCGCCTGGTGCACGCACGCGTGTGTGCATGTTCGCATTCACACGTGCACACGCACATTCAAAATTGCTCTGGCATATGGGAAAAAAGTTGCAGGGGACAAGCCTGGGCGCTTATTCGACCAATTTAATTGTAATGACTTCCCACACGCTTCTCTTCCTTTTTTTAGCCAAAATACATGCATGGAAATGGCAACAAAAAGCGTGCTGTGCATGATAAAGAGCACTGGGATGTGGGTTGAAATTCATTACCTCTTATTTTCTTTCCTTAAGTTGGTGGAGATAAGAGTGGGCACGTGTACACGGCTGTTAATGCACTTGCTTTTTGCTGTGTTCGAAATCGGTTAATCTTAACTTACCATAATGACTAGTTTAAATATTTTGTGGCGTCTGGCGCGGTCAGGCTGGCGAATTTGTGGCCAGGTAGGGTTAACTAACCTGTTGGTCGATAAATAACCCCTGAAGGGGGGAAGGCGGGCCGGCACTGAGGTCAACGAGGGTTTGCACTGTCCGATGAGTCATGCACGCAACGGGTACCGTATTTGTAAGACACTGAGGTCACTGTTAACGTGTCGCCACTTGAGTCTGTTAGTGTGACCCTCGTCAGCTTACTTTGAAGGTTAAGTTGTAGAAAAGCTAGCTTTTGCTATACGACTTCGATTACACAGTTTAATGCAGCTTTGATACACCCTAAAACGATTTGATAAAATACTGACGTTATCGTTGTTGCATCAGAATTTAAGTCTTTCTCCATTTTTTTTACGAAATAACAATTGTGGGAAGCATTCTCGTCGTAAGAAGTCCACAAGCCGCCCCCTGAAACTGTCGGTTAAGCGTTAGCCTCCATCAGTCTCGTGATGGCAACGATAAGGATAACGGTGATGATGCCTGTATATATTGGCCTATTTTTGCTATCTGTCGATCGTTCAGGCATAGCTGTCAGACTGACAAGTTGACTCGTTAAGATAAAAGCAATGCATAACAAAAAGGTAACATCTGCACGGTTCCCGAGCATTATGGTATCTATTAGAGAGAAAAAGGAGGATATTGGTTTGTGTGCCTGAGCCTAGGGCTTTCACCTGGTCACTGTGATTTGTCAATGACAGCAACTTTGACACGTAAAGTTAGTTTAATCAGACTGCCACAAAGAGGCAGTGTGGTTAAGTGGGCTGCTGACCGCTTAAACTAGGGCTGCAAATCTTAGCAAAGGCCGGTTTTAATCAAAGTGGAAAATAAACTATAAACTTTGAGCGAGTATATGCAAAAAAAATACAAGGACCACATCGCTGTATTTTGCGATGAAAGTGGCTATTTTAACACCAATTTCGCTTTCTAAACCTCGAGGGAGCTCCGGATTTTCTCAACCTGTGAGAAGTCATGTGATCTGTAATGAAAAACTAGGGAGGAGGGCAGACAAAACAACTTCGGAAGCCTTAGTGCTTTACAATCAGTCGAGAGCCCTTTTTACAGGATTTTTGTTTTTCGATTTTTATCAAGTCATGTGTCATGCCACCTCTGCCTCGGAGCCCACCCCCACAATTTACGATTTAATGTCACCACACGGGTTCAAGTTTTTGTTGATAAATTTCCACTGGCTTGGTTTGCTTTATTTCAGATTTGAGTGGATTTAAGCGGGGATCAGGAGATCAAGTGAAAGGCGAAAAGTCGGAGTGAAGACCTTTCACTGAAGCGGCGGACTTCCTGTTTATCAAGTGTCGATGAGAAACCAGGGTTTAAGTGTTTATACACGTTAAACTTTTAGGCAAAAGTCTACTTCCGGATATCTGAATTCCCAATGATGACATTTTGCGGTGATGATGATGATGAGGCGGAGGACAAGGTGCCCATTAAAACGGCATCCATCACGCAACTAAAAGACACTCACCGATTTACCCACATGAAAAAGCGAGGTAATGATTAATTAGTGGTAGTCGTGGTGGTGGTTCAGAGCCTACGAAGCATTGATAAAGCAAAAGAAATTCCACCCTACTTAATTTTTCACCAAGCAAGAATTCAACCGGAATTTCTAATTTGGTGATGTAGCGCCCAAAAAAAGGGGGCTAGTATTCAGCCTAGGCTTAAATTAACGTTGACTGCCACAGGCAAAAAACCGTCAGAAAGGATGATTTTATCTTATGCACTTGGAGAAGATGAGGAAAAAGGCGGGTGGGGTAGTAGTCGTCGTCGACGTTTTGCATGCCTGTTTTTTTGCTTCAAAACGAGGCGAAATTAAAATCAGGTAGACTGGTTAAAGGCCTGCAGTAAGTTGAACTGAGCGCCTATTTGTGTCCAACTTATGGCAAGTATGGGTTCTAGCCGCACAAACTGCATTTCCGTCATTAATGGTAGCCGTGATTGGCGATGTTAAGATGGAGGCTGCATTTACTCACATCCACCCCCGTGTTAATTATTAAGGTGAGGATCAGAGAGTTGCATTGGTGACGAGGTCATTCGTACGGTTAAAGTGCCACAGTGATCATTGCGACACACTCCATCCCGCTAACCCCTAATTTGGAATTATTCAGTGCGTGGGGGAGGGGAGGGGAGGGGGAGGAAATGCGCACACACCGGGCCTGATTGATAGCATGGGCAATCTCAGGGCCTTAAGTGACCCTGCCCCTACCCCCCTCCCGATGACTCATCCACTCAAGCCATGAGAAGCGACACCGGCTGGTGACTCAGCTGCGGATAGTGTTATGCTATGGGAAACCCCACGATCGGCACTATGATACACCAACTTTCACCTTTTGGGGAAACGCAAATAACCCGATTTTGCTGGCAGGTTTTAAAGACGGAGGAAAAAGCGAGAACGGGTCTTTTCAACGAAGCAAAGTGAATAAGACTACACAGAGCCCGTTGGAGAGTATGGAGTTACAAGCAAGGGATTAAAGGCCTCTGCCCTACTTGTAGTTGCACAGCTGCTGCCTTAGGCATCTACCTTCTTTTCTGTGAAAGAACAATGCCACGGATGAATGCTCAAAGCGCCTGTTGAAATGTAAAAAGTAGCCGGCTAGAGCGAAGCCACCGTCCCCAGCCTTTTCCCATGGGTTCACACACAAATACGCACACGATCCTATCGAATGAGAAGCGGCACGTGAAAAGGGCGCAAAATGTTTTCTCACACTTATGTCTCGACTCCCTCTCTCGCTCTTTTGAGAAGGCGAAAGAGATGTTAAATTTGAAGAGGCAAGGGAGTGTATACACCCAGAGGCGTCTAAGGTGCAGTGATTATCCGATTTTTCGCATTTCGACCTGCCACACGCACACGCGACGTCCCGTCTCGATCAAATGAACCCGGCTTCACAAAGGTAGCGAGTATTTCCGCTTACATCAGCTCGTATTGTAGACGAACTGGCTAGGTTTAAAACAATGTGACCAGCCCAGAGTGCCCCCGGTCAGAGGACAAGCACAACTGATGTCGCACTGGTGAGACGCAGCTCCTAAATCGCAGAGGTCGACTTATTTTTGAGACCTTAGAGTAGTGGACGCATCCACAAAATCGCCCCACAGTTGTCGAAACAGGTCAGCAATCAGATCTAGTGACAGCCTCTGCGAGGAGCAATAGTCAAGAGACCACGGCGACAACTCAGTGATTACATCACAAAAACACGGTAAATGGCGGGAGATCTCACACAGTGATTAAAATCAACTGTTGCGAGTAGGACGAAGGATTTGTTGCTCGAGTTCCTCACCCAGTTTGACGTACAAATCACTTAGAGGTCTATCCATAGACGTAACACGGTGGCGAATTTGCTAGCACAGTTGTGCTGGAGTGAATAAAAATGGCACAAAACCATGTCATCCCGCGCCCACAAACACAATAAACAGTCAAGCCTACCCAGAAGTGGTTAACACCACACCACACAAAATCAGTGGCCACCTGCCCAGAAGGGAAAGAAAAAGGCGCCATATCAACATAAAACTTCTTGGTTATACACTTGGATGGGAGTATGTCTGCGTGAAGGGTAGGCATGTGTTAAAGGGGTAATAGAGGGACCAAGGTGGGGAAGGGGGGGACAGAGAATGAAAGGAGGAAACAGATGGGATATTCAATCGTCCGGTATGTGTATGTATATGTATACGCGTTTGCATTTATGTCGAATGCATATTATGTATATGTCGGTGGTGGTTGAATGAGCGAGCGATCCCGCGTGCAATCCGATTTGCAACGAAAACCAAGCAGAAGAAGCCACATAACAGCAACGCATCGCACACGCACTCACACACAATGAACGAGGAGAGATTAAACTAAATTCCACCCTTGCTGGAGAGAAAGAGATGAATCCGCAAGTGGAGAGAGATCGATTGTTCACGCAGGAAGGAGGGGCATCCCAAACACACCAAAAGCGCAGTGAGGCAGGGTCAAAATGCGTCGTTTATCGATCGTCATCTTCATCTTCGTCAAGATGTAGGGGGAGTACGGAGGAGTAGCAATAGTAATTTGAGTATGTGGGGTATATACAAACCGACGAAGGGGTAGGGCAAACTAAGTGATAAATATAGGGGTGGCAGTGGTGAGATGTCAGTGACACGAGGCTAATATACAGGTGGTGAGCTGACTGCTGCTTCTGTGCTAATGTTGTGGACGTGCGTAACAGATTGGAAGGAAAATTTACACTTAGCTAAGTCGAGAGAAAGATAGAGTCGGAGAGTAAATGCAACTCGAGACATTACGGAATGACAGCAGGGGGAGAGAAAGAGCGTGTGCGCGTACACGCGTATAACGAATAGGTGAAGTCTGTCTGTCTGCCTGATGCACGTATAATGTCCTGTTAACTGGATGTTGGAGTAAATGGATGGGAAGAGGGGTCAGTGGAGCCGATCTTAGTGCGAAGAGACATTGGAGGCGGAAGAGGCGACCGAGCCTGCACCGTAGATGATCTCGTAGAGATTGGCCCGCTTGTCACCCGAACCCGTCACCACAAACTTGTCGTCCGGCGAGATGTCACAAGTCAGCACAGAGGCGGCTTCTTTGGTCTGAAAGGGGAAGGAATGCCAACGCTCAAACGGCAAAAAGTTTACCCATCATGCCAAAAGGAACACTCACCTCGAGGAGACAAGCTCCATAGGGAGTCCTCCAGGCGTTCACCTGGTGGTCCTTGCCGGTGGTGATGAACCAGTCGGCATGGTGCGCGAAGCGGAGAGCGAGGACGCAGCTTTCGTGGCGTGTCAGGCGGAAGTGTTGGTCGTAGGATGGAGCCTGAGGACTGGGAACAGCTGCACTTGTAGTTTGTGGACTGGCAGGTGTTTTGAGAAGAGTGGAGTTGGGAGGAGTACCACTACTACTGATGGTGGACGGGGGAGCGGAGGATGGCGGACCGTCGGGACCAATGGCAACGACTTCGACCTCTGAGGACTCGAGGCCGACAGCTAGCCATTGCGAGCCATAGAAGAGCGATTCGGAGGAAGGTGCGTCTTCTGCTCCCATAGGAGACGCCGCTGCTGCTAGGCTGGGCCGACGACCGTGCATGCCGTAGACGGGGGAGAGACCCAATGAGAAGACCTGCGACTTGAACTCGACGTGGTGGAGCCTACTGGATGACTGCAAGACATACGACAGAGAATATTTAGGAGAGTCAACGTAACCCCTAATCATGGGGAAACAAAGTAGGAAGAACAGGAAAAGTGAATAGTCAGCAATGTTTACACATGAATGAATGGGCACGTGCATCTATATGGACGCTCAAATGTTTCAGAGTGAATGCCAGCAGAAATCACCAGAGAGCCTGAATGCATGTGAAAACCACTTGCAGCCACGGTCCACAAGGCAGCGTATAGATAAATTGCATTGTGACCATCGCATGCTCGACTTTGAGATCGCCTGTGTGTTCGTGTGTGGAGTGAGCGCACATTCACATTCAGAGTTGATTAGAGAAGAAATAAGAATGCGATCGCCCTAAACGTACGTCCACCACCACCAACATACAGAGACGCACGACACGCACGCAACATGTCTGTCTGCGCTTACCTGACCCTAAAATCGTTTCGCTTTATCACTGCATAAGGAAATACTCCGCTCATTAAAAACTAATCAGCGGGGTCGACCACTAGGATCTCAGGGAAAAGCCGACCACCACAATCGTGATATTTCCTTGTCTTAGGATAAAAACAAATACTTTAGAAAATTTAATTTCCACTCAAAACCCAAAAAATAAAGTTACCCAAAACGAAGAACATAAACCGACTTTGTTAGAATTTAAACTAATGTTTGCGACACGGTCTGGTGCAAGTTGTTATAAGCTGATGGAACAAGTGCCACATGTCCATGAGGCTAGGGCTCAGCTATGAAAATCGGGACATCACATTATGTGAGGCTGACAGAGAATATGTTAGTAGCACAGCTCGTCTATCTTACACTGGACGATGAAAAAGACTGACATTTAATATTACGAGAGAAAGAGAACCTACAGTGCCGCGGATGTCCCAGCAGCGAACCTTGTTGTCAAGGCCACCGGTCCAAAGTCGAGTGCCCTGTCCCACTAATTCGATGCAGGAAGCGCCATCAGCGTGCGCGTGGAACTGTTGGACGACGCTCTGGTTGTGGATATCCCATATCGCAACTTGACCATCGGAACAGCAACTGCATGGAGATAGAAAGATTTTTAGTCAGCCAATCGGCTTGAGCCCTGGGGGTGACCTAAGACCAACCAGACATTCATACAAGAGCACTTGAAAGGACTAGTGCGTGACGCGTTCAAATACGGAGATAAGAAACGTTTAAATGAGCAAGTTGTCGTCCAAACGCACAGTTGTACTGTAATCAGGTACGCAAGAAGGCAGGATCAAATATGAGAAAAAGGAGTTAATTTGGTTGGCACGTGACAGCAGCAACGGCGGTGTGCAATCGCGGAGGGAGGAAAAAGTTCTTAAACCTTGGAAAAGGGAAACAGAAACGTGACAAAACCGAAAAAACAGCCAAGTGCGCCCATAAATCATGGCATTTGAAATAACTACAAAGACGGCTTAGTTGTAATGTGCTTCTCTTTTCGACTAAGTACACTTACGAGGATTAAGGCCCTCACTCTCAAATCTCAGTTCAAAGGGTGCAATAATCCTTTTTGTCCCCAAGACCGGCTCAGATTTTCATTTGTAGTTGTGAAAGGGAAGGAGTAGATGCTAGACAAGAATGAATGCTAATTAACTAGGGCGTGAGTACATGTTGAAAAGCACATTGTTACTATGCACTGCAGTCTGCTAGGAGACGGAGTCACCTTCGAATCTCATTAACGACCAACATGCATTAAGGGCGAATTTCGGAAGGATGACAGGAAATTATTGCACCGAAACAAGATACTGTGAGAGTAAACTACAATTAATTAATCAGCAAGACCTAGATGGAACCTTTTACTGCCAGGGTGGAATAAGCTCACTTTTCCACAAAGCACCCTGTTACGCGTGTGTGTGCAGTAACAATTCCCAAAAGCCAGAAATTTTCTCATGGTAAAAACTAATTTACCACCGTCCCCCCATCGCCACTTGCTCCCTCTCTCGCACACAAACAGAAAAACGCAGAGGTAAAAAAGAGAACAATAGCTTAATGGCTGAATGAATCTAAGAGGGAGGGCGAGGGCAAGTGCGCATGTTTAGAATTTAGATGAGCAGGGCATGGCGTAAATAACGAGAGATTCACTTATTTGTCCATTCATTCTATTGGGCATTGATTAAGCAGTCTACAAACATGGTGAAGTGATGAGCCGTCTCGTTTGACGCGATTTAATCGGAGGGATGCTTAATTGTTAAACGATGAAAGGAAAGGCTCACCTATAACAAAGCTTGCAGTCGGGGGAGAGTGCGAGTGCATAACAGGCGGGCGCGTCAAAAGTGAGGTCCGCTTTCCGTCGACCGGGGCCGTTCAAATCCCAAATCGTTAGGCAACTCGATTCGCCTCCAATCAAAAGGGTGGAGCAATCCTATCGGGTGCAGAAAAGAGCAACATAACGATCAGTTACACACGTATTGAGGGATAAGTGGACCGAGATGGAGTGGGAATGCAGTTATATGATCAAATGACAATAGTACATTAAAGTAATGACTTGTGAAAATGAAAAAGAGAGGCATTTCCAAATTGCAATTTGGGACCCAAAGTCACAAGTGGAAACCAAGTGATTTGGTTGGTAATCCATGATGTGAAGGGTGAGTAGCAGGTAGCATGTACGGATACAATGGCGATTGGAAAGTCAGTTCAATGCCATGGGACATATTTGAATACTATTCTCGTAAAAAAGGAAGCCACCATTATTCAAATCTTTAGCCAGCAGGCAGCAGCACCTATTTACGGGTCACACCAGAATGGGAGCAAACACTGCCAATGCACAAAACCAGAAGGAAATGATGGGTAGTCAACTGAACTAAACACGAATACAACTTCTGTGGCAACGTATTTCAAGTCCAAAAGGCAAACAAGACAACCTTCAAAGTCAAATGAAGGTAGGTTAGCCCAGAGTAGATAAAAAACCAGTTATGGAGGCCAAATGGGGAAACTCACCGGGAAAAGCTTGATAGAGCGAACATAGCTTTCGGGACGAAGACAGTCAAAGGAGGCGAGGGCGACGACATCTCTAGAGGAAGAGGAGCCAGCAATGGCGTCAAGGTCCCAGAGCTTAACACAACCGCGGCCACCAGTGTAGGCGAAATGTGGAATACGGGTGGTAGACGAGATGGCAACAGCAGTCTCGCCGTCGCCACTGGGATCAACTTTAAAGGTGGAGGGTGAGACGTTACCACCGCCAGAGGTGGGTGAGGAACCCCGACCAGAGGGCGCGGGAGCGATAGTCACTGCACAGACCACTTCACCGTGCGGTAAACTGGCTAAATGCTGTAGACGCCGCGGTAGGTTGGGATTCGATGTTGCTTCGGGTGCCGACGCTAGCGCGCAAGGGCGTGTGCCTCCACCGCCTGGAAGTACCACGTACGAATAGGTCCCCGGACCAGAACAGGAAGAAGAGTGGCTGAGGAAAAAAGAGCATGAAGATGACCGCCAGGTTTGCAGCAGCAAGACGGAACTCCGAGCGAACAAGTGTGTCGAGCACTTGCATTAGCAAATTCCCAAGCATACAGACAGACGTGATAGAGAGCAGACAAGCATGTGGTCAGAAAGTGGTTTCCTTTCTTCCCGTTCCTTTACACAGACGGGAGAGGAGTCACACAAAGCATTACCCCTTCCGGGCAGTTGTGATTATAGCGCGTGATCCGCCCACCCTCTACTGCCCTCCATTCGGATGTCAATCGGGCCAAAGGAGGCGTCTGATATCAGTAGCAGTCGCGACCCTAAGAGAATTGCATATACAAACACACACGAATACATGCATCGATTCTGACTGGCTTATTACGTATGAGAAGTTGAGAAATAAATATGCCCACATTTTACAATAGGACATTTCATCAATGAAGCTGGTCGTTGAACTAGGGCAAAAGTAGCGGCGCACTTACTAACCATATCGCCATACTGCGTCCACAGTGGAAAATAGTGGGCGGTTGAGTAGGGAGAGAGCGAACAGAGTACGAGATATCTAAGTGGCTTAAAGAAACTTTAAATGGAAGGTGTAGTGGAGCTGGGACTACTTTTAAACCTAGGGAAGAACGCAAAGCTGTGCTTTTCAACGCGAAGATCAGAGAGCTTGCGAAAATAGCAACGCCGCCCAAGAGGACGCCAAGTACAAAAATAGCGGCATTTACCGTAAAACTGCAAAATTATCTGGAAGATGGCATCCACGTGACGCAAGAAAATCAAATACCGCTTAGGTAAGCTGCACCACTGTTTCTAGTTACTATGTAAAGTGTAGATAGATAAAACGCCACATAGGCGAATACTTACCCTTTTCCACCATACTTTGACCGATTTTCGGACTAAAAGAAATAAAAAGGAATTAAAAGACGAGCTCCAAGGGCCGAAAAACAGAGCAACGAGTGGAGAGAGTGATGCACAGTCTTTACCTACATACATGACCGACAACGTTACGAGCTTCTTTGACCGCAGATGACATCGGTTAGTCTTCCATTATAGCAAAGATAATGTGAACATGAAGGGTTAAACTTCCCCATAAACGCGGAAAGGCAAGATGAAGAGGCTACTTACGAAAGTTGATCTATTGTGCGGAGTTCCGACTGCGGGGGCACTGTTCGTTGTCGGATAGTTGCTTCCCATGGAACTAGGCAGCTGGGGGCTGAGATCTTCAAAAAAAGAAGCGCAAACAGTTAGGCGACAAAGTAGCAATAGTAGCCAAGTCTGCTGGAGCGACAATGAGGTGCAATGGGAGGATTTCAGGTGAACCCTCCCTACCCCTCCGCGGACAGCAATTGGTGTGTGTTTGCAAGGTTCACACGGTTTCAAGACAAATGAGTTAGTGATTCAGCCAGAACGACAAAATTTCACACAAAACATCCCCTCCTCTTAAGCAAGTCACTAATCCCGCAACTTAAAGGAATCACTCAATACATCGCTGAAAGGGGGGACTGATTTACCCACAGTACCTTCTCTTTACAAACAAACACGCCGACCATTGAAATTAGGAAATTCATAAGAAGTGTTACGCCATCGAGGTACACCTAGAATGTAAAGCCCACAATTCAAAGCTTCAGTTGAATGAAAAACATACTAAGTGGTTGCCGGCCAGAGCGACTTGTGTTCATAGACATAGCACTTGAGGTAGACGATTTGTCCTACAGAGGGAAAGCAAGATCAAATAACCCTGCAGGGATTTCGACAGAACAAGCGGGAAGAAAGACGAGCTAACTAACCATGTCGTCTGCACTGCGACATCCCCCATTTTCACGACTTGGGCATTCCTAAAAATCGAAAAATTTAAGACCAAACTAAGGGTGGGCACGCTGAGAGGGAAATGACTGAAGAAAAAGGCAGAGGCATGAGCCAATGAAGCAAGAGTGCAGAAAGTAGGCCGACAGAGAACCACCCTGTTTTATAAAATATGTCGGGGAAGAAAATCCCGCTCTTCTCTCCTTCGTTCCTTTTCTCAGCCCATTGCTTCTGTTCCCTGCACGTTTGCAGTTAAAAAAGTACGGAAAAAAATCCGAGAGAACGTCGGCTAGCCAAAAACTACGGGAAAGTTCGCAGATTTAACTTTGTCGCTTGCTCACCCACTCACTCGCTCAGAAGCGCACACACTCGCTCTTTCCCTTTCTCTAGGCACTTTTTCGCTTTCCACCTTTCTGTTTATCTCAGGCAATCAAAGAAGTGAGCAAAACGGAGAGAGGCGGAGATGCGATTGAATAAATATGAATTAGCCATCAAAAATACAGATCGTTGAAGTGAAATGGAAAACGCGCTTCTAGCGACCACTAAAACTGTAGAACCACGTCAATAAAACACAAAGATGCGGCAGCACTTGGCAACGATAGATAAAATAACCGATGTGCATTTACTTTCAAGCAATTCGAGGGGTGGCTGCATAAAACATAGACGAATAATGGGAAACTGTTTGCAGTTTCACCTTCCTCAATAAAAAGCAAGCGGTCGAAAGCTCACCAGCTTCGGATCCGCCACCTTGCGCCTCTTTTCATCCGGAGGGGTAGGAGCTGTGGAAGAGTTCCCTGGGGTGGGGGGAGGAGGCGGGGGGAGTAGAGAGGAGGAGGCAGGACCGGCAGATCCACTAACTCCGGAGTGCCCGCTATTGCTTCTAACTCCACCACCGGCGGAGGAGGTTCTACCGGGAGCACTGAGACCGACGACACCAGGCGATGTGGTGGCAACTCCACCACCTGCCGCTGCTGCTGCGGCACCGAAAAAGCCCTCAGGGAAGGAGGCCGCAGCTGCAATTGCGGCTGGTCCACCAGGTAAAAACGGCGAGCCAGGGAGGTTGGGTTGACCTACAGCTCCACCACGAAAGAGTTGTGAGGCTGCTGCTGCTGCCGCGGCTGCCACTCGCTAAAAAACAGCCCAAAGCTAGCTTGAGCAAATTATAATATTGCAACAAATAACTGATCAGGTAAGAACCTGTTTATCTTCACTTGAATAGTCCTTAATGTCACGAACACCACCGCTACCAAGGGGAAGACCAGCAGTCCCAGGAGGGGGCATCATGGCACCACCAGCAGCAGACATTAGCCCATTGATGAATGCATTTTGCAGTCCGGGTGCAGTGGACGGAAGTAGACCTGGGGTAGACCCAGGAAATGCTGCACCCGTAGCAGGAGCACTGCCGACGTTTGACCCGTGCGGACCGGCCTGATTGGCGGATGAACTTCCGGGAAGGGAGGACGTGGGACTACCTGCTGACGAAATCTGGTGGGCTTGGATTTGCTTGAAAAAAGAGCGAAAGGTAAGGACAAGCTAAAAAATTACTTTATAAATTTCTAGCTGATCATTGGACAGTCCCATATTTCCACCATTCGCAAATTTGGCTAACTTTGAGTCTTCCATTTGAGCCTATATGAAGCATAATGAAGAACGCATTCAAACCGTAAGCACTGAATTTAACTCCTGCATCGTGACCTGCTTTGCACGTTCAATAGCTGACGCGACTTGTGACTGGTGCTAGTGGAATATCAAAAGTGACCCACAAATTATCAAACCTCAGTGGCGAGAAAAGGAATGACTTGATTGAGAATTGCGTTGAGACGTTTTGAGATTTCCATCTGCCGATGCATTTCTAGGTTTAATCCATTGGCCATTTCATAGTAGACAACGCATATGCGCTGCATATCAACGCGCTCACTCAGGAGCTTCTCTCGCTCAGTTTGAAGTCTAAGACAATTGATTCAGAGGAGCATGACTTACTGATGACACTGCTGCTGAACGAAGTTAAATTCATCCTTGATGCGTTCACAGGTCTCGACAACTGTAAATTTATAGGACTGGCCTGGCCCCGAGGGCACCTAAAAAGCATAACCGCAAGTATAAACGGGGGTCCCATAAATATGAAGAGGCGATTAGGAGTAAAAACACTAATAATTACAGGAGGCCTGCTAGGATACATAACAGCGACGAAGCCTAAAACCAATCAATTGAAAATTAAATAGTCGCTCCAATACCCAATAAATTAAAACATTTTTCAAAGCGCAAAATATCTATATTTTATTTTACCGAAATTTTAATTTAACAAGTTAAAATAATTAAAGTGCGCTCGATTGCAGACAAATTTATTGATTTCTTGTTTGACAGCACGTTGGGTTTTGAACTCGACCTGCGGTTATGCTGTTTGAAGGAATGAATTTTAAAGCCGGTTGCCCGAACAATCCTGGACTGTCGAACTTTTTAACGTTTAATGGGTCTGCGGCATCACAGCCTTGCACCCAACCTTTAATGCCATCTTTTGCGCTACCGGTACATTCATATTTTCCCCTAAAACCGTTGGACGTTTTGAATCCAAGTGTAGTACCTCAGCCATATATTTCCCGGGTCAATTTCCCTTCTCCTCCCATCCCTCCCTTCAATTCTACACAGCTCCCGGGAACCCAAGCATTTGCTAACCCCTCCGTATCATCAACGGGACGGCAAATGCACCCAAACACAAGAAATGCCACCGGGATGTTGTCACCCCCATCAACACTGCCGATTGAAAACAAGCAACCAGGAATAGATTCATCTTCAGCAATAGGCGTGTATAAGAAATACTATACGGACGTTTTGGGGTATTTCAAAACGCTGCTTGATAATTTGGAGAATGTTAATGCGTCAACAACTAATCGAACTCAGGGCATAGCTCCTAATAATGTTCAGGTAGTTTATTCATACTCGTTACAAAGGTTCGCTTATGCCTTGTCACTCGACTCCGTCTCTTATGTTTAGAATGGCAGGTCGTTGGATAATGATCCTTGGAGTCACTCAAAAACTGTAATGGAAGGCTACTTTCGTCAAAGTGGTGCTCGTGACTGGGATTGGGCCTCGTGGCATAACTACCTCAGCTGGATTTCACGAACTCATCCCGAATGGTTCCAACTCTTCTCCGAATGCAGTAAACAGATGGGCATTGATTGGGACGTCATGTACCAAAAATGGCTTGCCTCCAAGTCCAATACCAACGATCAGGCGCCAGTGTTTGGTATGCACCGCCTCCAGAAACTACCTGTTTGTACCAAATTGTCACTGCGAGTTCGTCACTTCTGGCCTTTTTTAGACCTATCCCGACCTCCTCCAATCTCGACTTCCAATCCACAACAGGCTCCACCGCCACCCATTACAAATCCCTTCTGCCTCACCTCTGTTCCCCCACCCCAAGATCCCAGGGTGTGGTGTGAAGATTGTGACAAATATTATCCCACTCAAAAAGCCTATGACATCCACCTTCGTGGTGTCTGTCACATACAGAATGCTCTGACAAAAACCATCACAAACAATGCGAGTGCTGTTTTGGACATTCCTCCTCCACAGTGGGCACCTCAAGTTAGTCCCTCGTCTTTTCCACTTCTCCGAATTCGCGACCTGAACCATTTAACTGCTCCGTTTTTCTTCTCTTAGGTTCATCCGCACCATGTCGAACCAGCAGTGCCTCGGAATAAACCCATGGTGGACTTGCGCCCTTCGCAGAAACTTCAGCTACGGATTCAGTACTTACTGGATATTTGCATACAGCCGCTGGTTGGTCTGAACTACATAACGGAGTTTCAGCGTCGGGGTCTCTTGGAGTGTGTTTACGTCTGCGATCTGTGTGAAAAACGCGCTTTCCTACCCTCTGCTGTCATTAAGCATGTCTGCAGCATCAGACACAGAATGGCCTATCTCGTGAGGGTTCTGGTCTTTCACCTGCTATTAGTGGTTGTCCACTGTGATAGATTTAGATAATCTTATTTCAATAGTTTCTTCGACTGCTTATTAATTAAATTCTTTTTCGCGTCTCTAGAAATATCACTATCCTCCACTGCACCAGTTGATAAGCATTGATAGGAGTCCGGAATCGATCAGGAAACGACGACTCACTTCGTATGCACAGCAAGTGGAGTCTAGTGAAGGGCGAAAACGGCTCAGTATTATGGTGGAAAAGGAAAACTGTATGTACAATTTCCACTTATTCGAATAATATTTGAAGTTTACCTTTTCAATCACTTGTCACTTTGATTCACCAGTGCTTAAGTATTTCATTTTGTCTCAAACCATTTAGGTCGGTTTCTAAGTCTGCTAAAATTATTCAGAAGCCTTTGAAGTCGTAACTCGTCATTTCGGTAGTGTTCATGTGTTATCGCTCTTTCCCCATTCCATAAGGTCTACTCTAATAGTATGCATTCCAACTTTGCCTCATACAGCCACGGTGATACTTATCTTACTTCGAAGTCATTTTTGCTTACCTACAGCCACGTTCAAGACACGCATTGAGCCTTTGGAGCCGAAGAAAGTGCAAGGCTCCCCTTTAGCCCCCGCACAAAATGACAAGGTGCTGGAGACTTCACCTCGTACCGAGCTGACCGATGTGGTGTCCAAGTCAACCGTCCACTCTTCCGAGCTAGGCGAAAACAATACTAATGAACTTGGCGATGACGAGATAGAGGAGGGAGAGATGCTGGATTGTTCGACCTCCTCCTCAAGTGCACCTGAAGATCAAGAGGGCTTGGCAAAAGAGGGGGGAATGAATTCGCCCGCCTCCTCACACTTCTCTGATGAAGATGGTGGTGGTGGTGAATACGACAATTCTAAACTGCCAAGCTTCTTTTCAGCAGGCGTCATCGAATCGAGCGATAATCGTCATAATTCTATTGTTGTTCATCTTCCCGACTTCGAAATCGGTTTCGTCAGTGAAAGGCCACTTTTGCCTGACTTCACTGCCGACGAGTGTACCGATTTTGTGTGAGTTTTTTGTGTAGTTCAGTAGGTCGAGGGTAAACACTTGGATGCTCTCTCGCTTTTTAGGCTTGTCGTAGGGCTCAAGTTACCCCTTGAAAACGTTGTAAGGTACATAAGTCGGGCCGGTACCTTTGTTATCCATGTTTCAGAAGGACTGAGAGGCTAGCAGCATAGACAGTAATTCGGCGTTATGGAGGTCACATCGAGGAGGACTGAAAAGGCACACGTGATTATTCCTTTATATCAACTGTCGCAATATTAGTCGGATCTATTGAAACCACTTGGGGGCAAGAACGGATTTCGTGTAACGTTTATCTCCCTAACTTACGAATTCGATGGAAGTTGTACACCTGGTAGATTTCATTGAGTCTACCTGTTACGCTTACTTTGTGAACGGTATCGATAAATAATTGTGAGGCATTGATTCGAGCTCAATAATGTTTCGCAGTGAGATCGCCCTCCATGTCGATCGCTTTTCGTGGGAACTGTGTAAAATGCCACAGGTGTCTCAAGATTCTCTAACCATGTGTGATGTTTCTATCAACGGTTATACGCACTTCTGACATAGTGAATAGCCGTCATGATAGTAATATTTTTCTAGGCTTGATTAGGGCGTAGAATTGTACTGTCTCAGAAGTGCATGAATTTAGTCACCTTTAAGCTGCTACTTTTTTGGTCTCGTGAGGTGAGAACGGCATTTTCACAGGTAATGCTAATTTAGGTCTGGTGGAAATGTCGGGGCGTAATGTTCGCAGGTTTGTAACCACTCTTTTATGTTCGTTAGCGAACGATTGAGGAAGGAGGGTTTGTTGGGTGCACGACGATTCTCGATTTCTGAGGCGTCGGAACAACAAGAGAAGGAAACAACGCCAATGGAGGTGGCATCGACGGACTCCCAATTGGGACGGAGTTTTGAGGAGGAGGCGCGGTGGGCTCTCAAACAATTGGAGAATGCTAAGCAGAAAACGAACCCACTCCAATTTAGTTTTAAATCCCGTTCCCAAATCACAGCGTAAGCGCTTCACTGTGCCATTGTTGGTATGTATGTGCTTCTCGGTTTTTGTATTTGACAATCTTGCTGCCGTCGGACTTGCTTGAACAGTTTGCTACGTGTCAAATGTGGTAAACGCGTCATTGTAACGGAGCGTTATTTACTCGTAATTGTAAATTAGCTCAACTGCCTTCATGCATTCCGTACGACTTATTCATTACTAATCTGTCCTGCTATCTTTTTTATTAGTGCGTTGGGTCCTGTTATCACTACTTTTGATCGCAGTATACCTGTCTTCATCGAAAAGTATAAAGTACCTTTGCTATCGCTACTGTCAATAGCATTTCACCTACTTGTATTGTTCTGAAACAACCAGGCATGAATTTTAAAGTGATTCAGTTCTCATTTATTACTGACTTTGATTTTTGGACAGACCTTCCACTCCGCTTCTTCCCGACCCACCGGCGGTACTATCGTCCACTTTAAAGGCGACTGAAGTAAAGGATGGAGACGCCAAGGGTGTTGGTGGACCTTCCATGATGAGAAGCGATTCAAAGAATCCCGAGTCTGTGAAGCGCGCCGTCAAAACCCTTTTGGGGGATTTTGAACCTTCATCTCCTCCTCTTCAGCCACCTCCAGGATCACGACACGGGCAGACCATTCCTGTCATCATGTCAAATCAACCTCGTCCCCTTCTCCCACAACCTTCCCATCCTGCTTCCATTCCTAAACGGGAGAATTCGAAAGTTAGCGTGCTTGGAGACCCTCCCAAACGTCTTAAGCTAGATCAGTTAGACGGTGAGTCGTGTACTAAAGTCTGAGAGACTGGCAAAGCTGGTGATTTCACAAGATCCTTTAATCTCCACGCAGGAGTGAAAAGTCTCCTTTCTTCGCCACTTGACGCACTTCAGGCTCTGCTAAAAGGTAACCTCGGCGCCTCTAGTGAGCAGCAACAACGAGAGGAGAATGAAGCATCCGGGTCTTCAGCTCCCACAACTCATTCACCAACCAACCCCTCTCCTTGCCCCACGGAGATTTTTGACGGATATAGCTACTTCAGTCGCCAGGAGGAGGAGGAGCTCAAAACACAGGAACGTGCACCCGCCACAAAAACACCACTTATTAGCCACCGTCAGCGACAGGGCATCACGAAATCTGCCACCACCAACATCGCCACGTCACAGGGGAGGAGTAGCAAGTTAGCCACGTTTGCAGATATGCTTGGTATGAACGAGCCCCCCGCTCCACCACCACCGTCGCGACCCCCGCCACCACCCACACCCGTGCAACCGACAGTGCCGCAGGTACCGACGGCTGCCACCGCAGGCATCCTTGGTGCTGGTCTCGCCCCTGCTGCGTGGCTAGCAACGCCTTCGCTTTGGCAGTCTCCCGCAGTCATACCTACGCAGGCACTGGCCACTCCTTCCCCATCCACTGCGGCTGCTGCTGCCTTGGCAGCTGCAACAGGCGGGTTCAATCCCGCGGCGTTTGTAATGCCTACAAACGTGTTGGGCGACCCTATGCTGCGTCCCCCAATTTGGAGACCCTAGGAATCTCGCAGGTGCGTAAACCTAGTCGCAAGTGGAACTGTAGAGGTTAAGCCGATTGGCTTTTATGGGTCTGTTTATTTCCTCATTCTCCAATCGCTGGCATTTCACTTGAAATTCTCTTGGTATGCTCCTTTCCCGTTCTTGTTCTACTTATTTCCAAAGCTGAATTGCTGATCACCAAGTTAACAGTTTTTGGTAACATAAGGCCGCGCCAGCACGGTCCATTGGTCCTTCGTGGAGCATTATTCAATTGGATGAGGTTGGTTCCTTTCGAACTACCGAGGTCGACCGATCGTCTGCCTCCTGCAAAATCAGTTGTACTGTACATCCGAAAGCACGGATTTGGACCTGATTCTTATTTGTATGACTGAGCTACGTGACTGGTGTGTGTCAGCCGTTCTAGGCATGTTACTAGATTTTCCTTTACGTTGGTCGTGTTCAACTTCTGTTGTTTGCTGCCTTGCTCATCATTGCCCTAAGCGATGTACTATTCACAAAAGAGATATTGACGGTTTCGGTCGTTCAGTGCTACGCTAAGACTATCTACAACATCTTCAGGAGTTATCTTTAGTGAAATAGTTTGAATTAAACGGTGACGGATGAAGTAGCCTAGCCCAGTTGGTCACTCATCTGTCGTATCAAAAGTGCTGCTCGAAGTACCATTTGAGGCCAGAGTCAGAAACACACTCGCAGTTATTTATCAGATCTTACACTGAATAACCGCCGACTTTCAGGTCTTTTAATAACTGAATGGGCTTTAGGTAACACCCAGTCCGGCTTGCAGTTTCATCGCTTCTCAGCTGACAGTTCTCGTAAAGGTGTAAGAGCTGAGCCGCTGTTCAAACACACTCGACTCAATCAAGTTATTCACCACACTTCATGCAAGCTAGCAACTGGTTCGTCTTGCAAACGTGCGATCTTTTGAATTGTCAAAAGTTGTCGTTTACGTTGTGAAGTGTTGTGTCACAAATAGTTTGGGGACGTGTACACGGGTTAGCGTGTTCACTCTCAGGGTCCCACATATGTGACGCCACCATTTTACTACATTCACTCGACGCTGCGTATGTGTGACATAATAAAACCAACTAGGTTAAGCTTAAAACAGTTATGTAGGATGTGGGATCGCCTTGGTCGTTGAGGGACAGTCATTTTTCCCGCCTGAGCAGCGGCTGGGTCGGAAATGTTGGTGTCATATTAGGAACAGTAAGACGTCTAGGCTGTGGTGGTAGATTTTCCCTATGGATAAGCCCTGGAAACGCAAATTTTAATTAATGAGAGCAACCATTAATGATGGTGTTTCACATTATTTGCTCTATTCCCTCTTAGACTGGGGTGACCAGCCAACCACTAGGCATATCGACGTCTCCCTTGGCCGTGAATTTAGATTTTTTACCGCAAGATTTTGTAATCGCAAACTTTAAACAAATAAAGCTCTCGTTGCAAGTCGTTCTTTTTCATTTAATTTTTAATATTAATTCTCGTACTCACCATCTATTTATGTAGCTTAGATTGCCACCCTTCTCTCTCTCCCCTTCTCCCTCATTGTGTTTCACTTGGTTGGTAAATAAATAAATGCCCTGCAGAACGGCCTCTTCTGGTGTCTGTCTAACTTGCACTGCGCTGGTTGGAATTATTACCATTACCATAATTGTCACTGTTATTGCTGTTACCTTTGGAGAAGCATGGTCTATGATTTCGTTGATTTCAGCGCACCTTGTCTAATTTCCTGCTCACCCTGTTTACTACTGTACTTCGTCTAGTAGTCCCTCCAGAGACGCGAGGCAACGAAAAAGTAGCGGTGGGCGTGGGACGAGAAAAGAAATACAGTCCTTTTATCAAAAGTCTTCCTTCTTGTATGCCTTCTTGATTTTGTTTTCACTTTCCTTTGCTGGTATTAGTGGGCTGAAAATTCTCCTCTCTTTTTAGATAGGAAGGGGTTTTTCGTGCTCTTCTCCAATGTCTTTGACGGAAATAACCTTTATCTGTTCTATTTTCGATTTAGAATCCCAAGTCCTCATGCATGTGTAGTTTTCACCCTATTAGCACGTTCGCCACCAGGATCTGTCTCGGAGGATAATGGATCGCCACAGCCCCTACATCTGTCTTGTTATTTTTTAAACCCAACCAATCTGTTAGCGAAACGATTTGGTGTGACCAGTTTTCACGAAGTTGTCAGGGGACGCGTCACGCTTCTGTGGCACTGGGCTCAGGTAAGAAAATTGGGGCGTCACATATACATGGTGCTCGTAGCGAGCGTGTTGAGGAGGAGTTTTCCATCTGTTTTCACATCTTGGGGGTGCTGAAAGGCAAGCGCGTTCCAAATAGAAGAATCTGCTGATGGTCTTTGGGCTTGTTGGTTATCAAGGTGTATAATAATTGCAATAATTCCGAGTTATCTGATTGTAACTATCTACCTAATTCGATATTTGGTAGGTTGGACGGGGCGTAGTCTGCATGGAAAGCCGGGCTGCCGTTAGTATTCTGCATGCGTCGAATGCGGCCTTTTTCTGGTCCAGCACCTAGTAGAGGACGCTTATTTGAGATGGTTCTGCGTTTGTTTTATCCAGAGTTTGTTGGTGGTAGTGGTTTAAGTAGTGTTAACAACCCGCTTAAAGTGATCGGATCTGTGTTGATACCATATTACAAAATCCTTTTTTTTTCTGGGACTCCTGAGTGTTTTTTGCGATAAGGTTGCGGTGACATCCATTATCTTCAGGAATCATAAGCATCAAGGTGTTTATCACTTTGCACTAATCTGCGTTGCCCCGGTGTCGCCAGTGGTTATGCCTATAGTAGGGAATTGTGACGTGGCCAATCATCCAATAAAAAAGACGAGTCGGTGAATTTCGCCTGTTTACCTGAATCTAATCCAAGAAGTCCAGTTGTCCTGGCCTACTTCTATTCAACGATTGAGTAGGACATTGCAGTGAAAGTCTCATTTTGTTTGTCGATGTACGTTTATCATGATGGGACAAGTGTGGGATTAACGCTTTGCATGTCCAAATAGATTTGTGAGTGTTGGATTTTGCTACCCCTTGGGTCTATAATCTCATTCTCCGCTTATTCTGGAGTCGCCCCAGTCCGCCTATTGGCATTTTAGCAGCTCGAATGTTAGTAGACGTGAGCAAACATTGTTGCTCCGTGCTCAGGTTCGGGGTCGTTCATGTCGAGGCTTGGCACAGCAAATGTAGGTCGTGCTGTGACAGCTGCCACGGCTCAGTACTGTGGTAAATTCTTGTCGCTTCCGATACGGATAATCTGCTGTTTTCAGCACAGGCGTAGATTCGACTCATTTGTGCTGAGTTTCATTGACCTTTGCATTTTTGGATTGTATCCACTCCTCCAGTCATAGAGGGCAAAGAATTGCAAGACATCATCGTTGCTGATTTTCTACTTGCTCGTGGACAAAGCGTATCTTTGAAAGGACCAATTACTGTAGTGAATTGGATTTCAGTAGTGTGTCGGTCTGGTTACGTACGCCATAGAGGCGTTGGTCCTGGCTCTGTTTCGCGGGCTTCATCACTCGTTACTCCCTTACAGCTTCTCGACAGCTTTCAGTGTGGATGGTCTAATGGGCTAGAACTATGTGTGTAATCTGTTGATTAAAGCGTATAATTGGCGTACTTTATGGTAAATTTGTCGTCAAGGGGATAAGCTAGTCAAGACTTCCAGAGTCCCTGTGGTACTCTAAAATGTCATCACGTTTTCAGCTTGTCTAGGGTTGTTCTGTTTTGTTAAACGGCGTCTTACTAGCTGAGAGACGCGAGTGGGTTTTGCTACACTCATCTTTTGCAGTCGAGCTTGTTCGTGTTGAGACTCGCTGAACCGGAGTTGTACAGAATTTTGACGAGTTTTGTCGCAATCTGCAGATTTCGCTGGATTCAAAAGCGGACCAAATTGAGTCATTTGGAGCCAGGATCTCCTCACACTTTGTGCCCTTGGGTTGTTTGGATTCCGCGAACAAGAAATGTTCGTCCGACACTAGCCACAATAACCTCGACATTCTACAGGATGGGTTTTTCTAATGGAACGCATTCACAGGTTTGTTCTGTTTATTTAACTTCCCAAGGTTGTATTACTCCCTGGCAATGTATTATCTAAAGAAAACAGATTTGATGTAGGCTGATTGTTTATTCCCCATATTTTTTTACCAAGTTGGGGCTTGGTTACTGAGCGCACCGTCAAATGAATGAGGTAAATGTTTAACTGCTACTTCAGTAATGTTAGCTTTGTCTTAAATGATTGATGATGTCCTTTACTTTGTCATTGAGACGAGAAGCCATGCCCATCAGGGACAACAGGTTAGCAGAGGTGGTGTTGTTTCGTCCCCCTCCTGGACGTCTGCCAGGGCTTGGTTTGTCCACTAAAATCAAAAATTGCTCATTTTTAGGGATTCATGAAATCTTCAAATCGTAGCCTGGATGGTCATCAAGAAATGGCGAGTCGATCACGTCAGTTTCGTGGTTGAATGTGGTTTTGACGACTGTGTAAATGCTTTGTTGTACATACGGAGGACGTCGAGTTGTTCATACGCTAATAAAAGTAGCTAACTACGTTCGCACTGGATTGAGATGCGTGTTGAAGTTGTGGAACCACTAATGCCCCTCGGAAAGTCAAACCGTTCAGTACTCATGATATGAAATGTTCCACATTGTTTGGGATGTAATAAACTCGACCCATCAGTAGCAATCTGGAAGTAGGCTCAGGTCTCCCACGTGGCTGATTCTTTTTCAAAAAACGAAATTTTATACCAAAACGGAAATTACCAAACCGTCCACGGGGAGATTGCTAGTGATCTATGTAACTGAATCAAGACTCAACAACGAAGCTCTTATTTGGGTATTATTTTTGAATCACTCGTTATTGCCTTAAAATAATCCTTTGAAAAAGGTTATTACAGTTCGGAAGGCGAACTTAGAAACGGAACGCTGCATTTTAACAATGATTGCAAAACAATGTGCGGTCGACGTGATTTGCAGGGAATTACAACTCTTAAACGAATTAAACTTGTTGAGAGGTTAGTTTAAGAAAGTTTACCTTTTTCTGGAAAAGTAAAACTCACCTCACGTCGCCGCCTTTGAAAGGATTTGCCGTGGATCCAGGTGACCAGGACAATTAGTAGGCCGAGCATGAGCAGAAATTGGGCCAAGATGACGGCGATCAAAATTTCCCTCCTCATAATGGGTCCTAAAAGGGAGTTACAAATTGTGCTTCCTTTTATTAATTAGGCCATTAATGTCCTCCACTTTACTCCGTGAAATCGATGCAAATATGGTCTGCTAATGGAAGTGTATTTACTCAAGAGAAGTTTGTTTCATATGGTGATGTCTTTAGCCGATGGGTAGCGCCCGCATTCACTGTAATCTCGCTGACATTACCTACTTGCATTCGACACGCTTTAGCCAGCCAGGGCCTTAGAGGAAGATCGACCGCCTCAGCCCAGATGGTGCATTGTTTCATTGTGGCGTCAACACTTGGACTGCCGAATTGGCCTATTTAAAAGTTGTTCCTTAAATTTAGGAGCATTGCATTGTATTCAATTCAGCTAATTTATTTTGGGCACTTTTTGACGCAACCACGCACCACAAAATGATGAGAAACTCGGATCCTATCTTTGCAATGTCAGGCTCAAGTCAGGAAATCGTGTCAAGAATGTTGATGTTAAGATCGTCAACGGAAGGGGAGTACTGTTGCCGTTGTAATACTTTATTATTTGAATGTACTCTTCAGTCAAGGGGGTGGTCAGTAAATACCAGCCTCTTGACGGATCAGACACCATCGGCCCCGGAGGAGGAAGAGGAAACGTACCCTAAACCCGCTTAAACCGTGATACCTGTACCCCCTCCCTAGTTAATCGCTACCCAATGAAGCATGTTCGTGCCCAATTCGCCCGTTTGAAGGCAGAGGTGGAAAAGAGAAATACTGAGTCTATAACACTATATTCTCCAGTGTGATGATGTGGTCCAACTAGTCGTGTGGATTCACTTTCTTAAGTGGGTCGAAATGACCCATAATGCTCTAGGTACAGCCTACCGATGAAAAAGAAGAAAGTCTTGGATTTTCGCGATCAGAGCATTCCGTATGATCGGAGTGGTTTGCGGGAAAATAGCAGTGTTAATGGTCCAGTAGGACCGACGAAGGATGAAAATGGGACGAAACAATAATTTTTCACATCAAAAAGCACTCAACTCAGCCTCACGTAAAATAGCTGTCGTAACGACTTACCACATTCACCTCGTAGGCTCTAAAAGGGCAGAAAAACACAATGTTGTTGGAAGATGCTGCAACTAGTTCACGGCTAGGTCACGTGATTTTCTGGTTTGCTAAAATTGAAATGAAGTTGTCAAACCACTTAGCATTCCATTTACTAATTGTTTATCAAATTACTAATCCCAAGATATCCTCGCATTGGGTTTCTACGGCCTTGGTACCTCCGCCCGGCGGAATGGCCTCCTGGGCCATCCCATTACCCCCTCTTCAGTCCTCCTGTACGTCGACAATACATGTTCTGCCCGGGTGTTATGTTTCCTTTCGTCTCCAGGGTATTCTCAGGGTGCTGAACTAGTGGCTGTAGAAAGCCAACCCAAGCGCAAAGGATGGCCACCTTGATTTCTACTATTAAATCTGAGGCAGCATCGTGACGGTAGAAGGGCATCTGCTGCAGATGGGACAATTTGTAACGACCCCTAACAGAGAGGTTTGAAAATGGCATCTACCTTCGGCAACTACTGCAGTACCGTGTTCTGCAGAAGTGCTATTAACAACGGAACCAACACCAGTCGTAGTGGTGAACCATCCGTAAAAGCTTGTTACGGAGCTGTCTACGGTACCTGTGTGAAGATGCCATTGAAGTGGACACACGATACCTCCTCCACCTCTACTAGCTAGAGAGAACCCAGATAGATAGATAAGTCTGGGTAGCACTGAAGTACGAACAAATTGGCAAGGAGGGATAGACATGAAACCCTATTACCCTCGAAACTATTTGAAATTCCATCTTATTGAATGGCACTGCTTTTGGGCCAGTGCTTTTACGACTAGCTATGGATGTGCGAGATGAAAAGCATATTCCTGCTTTCCTCAATCCAGTTTCCAAACAGGGCGAAACGTGAGATCCAGTAACGTTGTGGCCAAGTATCTTCTCCAGTGTACGCCAATTCAAGAACTGGTGTGGTCGGTTCGTAGATCTTTGTCCCACAGTACTGACTACGTTGTAAGGGTACTTAGGGCTCCTTGATGTACTTCCCCTGGGCGGCGTGGCGTCCGGGGCATTCCTGTAGCCCCACAGCCATTCTATACGTTGGCAATACATATTTTGCCCAAGTATTATGTCTTCTTTTGCCTTTGGACAAGGCTCAGTATGTTACACGCCTTTTCTATGCATTCTCATCACACTAGTAATTGAAGTTGTAATCAGAAATAACTTCGAATGGTGCGAGCCTAACTGGTCGGGGGAAGCCCTTTCATCAGCGCCTGCTACCTGGTGTTGAAAAGTTAACTTTCTTAATAATGAAGATTCCCCTCAAAAGACTTTTGATATCCTGCAAAAATTTATGAAAGTGGTAAACCTGGGACTAATTTTATCACGGTATTCTTACGAAGTGGGAGCTCTGCAGGAGAGCCTGGGTCAAATTAGCCTTGTTTAAGGCACCGTGCATGATGACTGGGAATTCAAGTGTGACCCTAACAGTCCTCGGGCCACGAGAACCAGTATAAAGTCCAATAATGGAATAATGAATTGTAGCTTACATTGTGTTTCACCTCCTACAGGTAGGATTTTACCCATATAAATTGCTCTAAACTAAGTTGCTACTGCTTTAGCAGTCACTTATGAGCTGATGTGCGTGTGCGGGCCCATCGGCTCCCATCAGGTCCACCACCCAGACAATTAGGGGTAAAGGCCCAAGGTCAGACTTCTTTATTGATTAGTGCGGGTGAGTCAACACCGAGGTGTGACGTGCGGCTACTGGCCCAGTCACTAACTCGTTCAAACTACCGGAGACCGAGTCAGATACTGCATCCGAAGCTAGATCACTGGGCCAGCCTAGCCATATGTATTTCGGGTAGCAGGCTGACCTTGAGTTTGGAGTGTACTTAAAGTATATCTGAACATAGCCGCAGCGGGGTAAATGCGCTGTTTCCAGAATGGATTTTAGGAAATTGAACATGAGCGTTTTCCTGCGGTTGCAGACATTTCCAGTAAAAGACTTCAAACAGCACGGTGTTGGCCTTTGAAGAATTAAGGGAGAACAAACCATGATAAAGTTAGCATTAACAAAGCTAAAGTTTATTATCTAATAAATATCTAACATCTCAAATATTAAATTAGTCAGCCAGTCGTTCATTAGTTTTTTCTTCTCCATTTAGTCCTCCTTTTACCTATCTAGTCACCTACCCGCCTAGTATCTACTTCCATATATGCTAAGAATTATGTGGATTGCTTGAAGGTGATGTTAAGGCTGGGGATTTACTTAATCTTAGGCTTGACTGGTCGCTGTGCCTCGAAATCCTTCGTAATGCATTCCTGTGAACAGCTAAGCTGCACAAAACTGGTTTCTTATGTAGGTATGGGAAGTTCATGAATCTCACAAAATTTGGGGCTAAAGTTCCTCCTCAGAAAAATATTCAGATAATCCATTAATCATCTATAATCTCCAACTGCCCATCCGCCGAACGACTTATCCGTCCATTCATATTTCTAGCTGGGAGAGAATGCCTAATGACGCATTTAGTAACACCATGATAATTGTACATTAGGAATGAAATAACAGCTAGTATATCAATGGATTCTTCAAAGTTGCCGACATTGACATTTGCAAAATGGTCGGCTATAGGCTGACAAGATGAAATGATTTTCCAAAGCGGATTCACTTCTAACTTTTTTGGCATTTAAGTGATGATTAATGGAATCTTAGTATATTATATAAGCAGGGTATTTCCTTCTCCATCATGAGCATTTAATCAATGGCACAAAATTGGTTACTGGGACTGAGAGAGATGACTTACATTGAGATGACAGCCGTTTTCGTGCCACCGCTGCCAGTCCCTGTCGACACCAGAGCTGCAGAAGTGGATCTGGGGGCACCACTGACAACGGAAACCTTGTACCCTTTCTCCAAGGCAGTCTGCGCAGGTTGTCTGCTCCACACAGGCTTGGCACAGAGAGAGGAGATTAAAATAAGCCAGAGATCATATTCGAACAAAGGACTAGTCGGTCTGTCATACCTCTTATCAGAGTCTTGGCTGTTGTCACTATGATACTACATAAGTTTGGTTATGTTTAAGCGTGACAATATCAGGCAGATGCCGATTGGTATAAAAGCTCTTATCAATCAAAGGTGGCCTCAATCATTCACCTGATTTGAATTATTTAGTCTTCATTTACTCTGGTCATTTTTTTTGAGCATATCTACGCGTTCAGATACCACATAGCAAAAGTGGCCTGGAAGGTCTTATCTAACGGTCCCT